ATTAAAACTTATAGCTAGATTAAGATTCCTTTTAATAAGAGCTAGCACTAATATAGTAGTATTTTTTAATAAGATAATAGGTAAGGTAGTAGTAGCCTTAGTAAGAATAATAACTATAAACGTAGTAGGCTTAAGCTAAGACGCTAAAGTAGCTGCTAGTATAATAGATTAAGTAGCGTAGTATAAAGTAGCTAGTAAGTCTTAATAAGTTATAAGAGGCTTAGATAAGACGTTGCTAGTATACGTCTTTAAAGTAGATAATCTAATAAGTATAGTAGCTTAGCGTAGTGCTAAAAGGTAAGAAGAAGGGTTTAGCTATTTAAATAAAGGCTTTTAAAAATAAGCCTTAAAGGGTAACTCTTGGTTATAAAGATTGCTAAGAAGGCGTTACTAATAAATAAAGCGTTATAAATATAAACGTAAAGCTTATAAAAGCGTTTAGCAAAACTAACCTAAATAATAGCGCTAACTAAGAAGCTAACATACTAGCAGTATAAATGTTTGCTAGCGTAATTAGCATAAAGCTATTACGCGTAGCTATACGCTTAATACCTAGTTTAGCGTTATATAAGAAAGGCTTTATAGCAAGCCTTAGCTAGTATACTATAGCTACTAGCGCTGCTTAGTAGTCTAGCTAACTATGCTACTACGTTTTAGCTATATAAGTATTACTTAAAGTAAGCGCTTTATTATTAAGTAGTAAAAACTTTATAGGCTAAAAAATATACTATAAACGTAGCATTAAATTAGAATAGGCAAAAGCTATAGTTAAGAAACTTACTAACGCGTATATTATAGCAAGCAGCTAGGCAATGTCTAGCAAAAGTGTTATTATAAAGGCTGTATACACTATAAGCTTGTCTAGTATAGCGTTTAAAGGGTTTATAAGCAAAAGCGTCTATCTTAACTAATAGAACGTTAGTAGTAGATAAAAACTATAAGATAAGTACTTAACTTATAGTTATTAGATGCTATAAGGCTAGTAAAGCTATAGATAAGTAAGTTTATACTTATAACTTATTAACTAAGGCTACTAATATATAGTTTAAAGAGTATATACTTTCTAAAAGGCTACTAGTATAAGCGTAGCTAAATGTAACTAACGCTAACGCTAGATAGTAGTGCCTAGCCTTAGTAAAGAATAGTAATTAAATATAAGCTAAAGCTATAGTAGTATTAAGGGCTTTGAATAGCTTATTTTACTAAATATACTTGCGGAAGGTAAGGGCATACTTTTAAATAATAGCAACTATGTTTGATAATAAGGTAAGAATTTAAGACTTATTTAAAATTATTAGTATAAAATAGTGCTTATAAGAATAAAAGAATAATAAACCTAGTAGTAAGTAGCGTTATTAATAATATAAGTAGTATACTACTAACCTTAAGTTATAAGTATAGCTATATAGTTAAGGACCTTAATATTAAAGTAAAGCTATGCTATATATATAGTATATAGTAGGAAGCTATTATAAGTATAAAAGACTATAGATACTAAAAGAAACTTTTTTTATTACTTATAAATAACGTAAAAAGATGTTACTAATAATTTTTAAAGCACTAGTAGTAAGTAATAAAGCGCTAAACACCTTAATAGTAGTCTTATTAGCCTTAAGGGCCTTAGTAGTAAGCGCTTTATATTTCTAAGAAAGTACTATAGTTTTTTTTATATAGCTATATATCTTAACTATTAATAATATAAAAAGAAATAAGAATGTAAATATGTAAAAAAAAGTTGTAAGTAAATAAAAACTACTAAAAGAAACTATATTATTATATTATACAATTACCTTACTAATAGTTACTAAAGCAACTAGCGTAAAAAAGAAACAAATATAACTAAAATAGTACGTATATAAGTATATACTAAGGCAAACTATAAAGAAGTTATTACTAAACGTTAGCTATAAACGTTTATATTAAAATGTTACTATATATAATAAAGAAAGTAAGAGAAGTTAATAAAGAAGTATAGCCTTACTAATAAAGCATTAGCTACTTTACACTTAATAGCTAAGCTAGAAAGTCTTATAAAACTGCTAAGTAAAGGCTCTTCTTAAGTAAAAGCACCTAAGGTGCATGCTAAACTAAAAGCGCTTAAGATAAGCGTATTAAAAAAGAGAATAGTTCTAAAGAGATTAACTAAAGTATAATATGCTAGTATAAATTAGTAATAATTTAAGTAAGCTTATAGAATAAAGTATATACAAACTACGCATAATTTAGCAAGGCTAAATTAGGGCGTTTAGCAAGTCTTACTTAATAGTAAGAAAAAGTATCTTCAAGCCTTGCTAAGAGCGCTAAGCTGGATTTAGCGACCGACGGTAAATAAGCAAAATAACGCTTGGCAAGCTTTGCTAAGCGCCTTAAAGCGTTCTGCTACGCTAGACCGCTATTGTAGCATATATATATTTTATAAACGCTTACTAGTAACGAATTTAAAAAGAGTAAGATAAAGTCTTACTACTACTCTTCTTATAACTTTTATTTTATATTTTATCTTGCTATAAATTGTGTGCCTTAAGTAATACCTATTATAAGTAAAAGCTAATTATAAAGAGCTAATATATATATTCTTAATAGTTATTTAGGATTTAAGTAGTAACTAAGGTATATTAAAGGTTTGAAAAGAAGGCTTTCTTTAAGTAGCTTTTTTTAACTAATTTAAAGGTAAAAGCTAGTTCAGCTTTAGTAAAAAGGCGTTTAAATTAAGACAAAAATAAGGTAACGGTTCTAGTAAGCTATTACTTCAGTATATAAAGTTAGTTTAAGGATTAAGAAGCTAGGTTTAAGTTAATAAAGATAAAGTTTAAATAAGCTAAAAAGAAGTTAAGGTTTTAGTTTTTTTTATATATTGCTTTTATAAAAAGGGCTACTAAAAGGGCAGCTTATAAGTTTAAATAAGCAAAAAAGTATACAAACTAAAAAGTAAAAGAGCTAATAGTAAGGCTATTAATTCAAATCATACTTTTTATACTTAAGGACTATACTTTATAATCCTTTTAGTTGCTAAAAAAATAAAGGATATTTGAAAGGTCTTTTTTAAGCAAACGTTAAATGTAAAGGTAAGGATAAGGGTAAAGGTAAAAGTAAAGATAAAAAAGGTATTTAGACTAAGTATAATAAGTAAAGGCTTTAAGGCTATAAGTATAAAATGCTTAAAGGCAGCTAAGTAAGTTACTAATTCTTAGTTTTAGTATAGTAGCTATTGTAGTACTACTTATAAGTTAAAAGCTAGTGTAAGTATAGTAGTTTAGTCTATAAAAGAATTTATAGTAAGTTTAATAAAAAAGAAAGGTTTTCTTTTACTTTTAAAAGGTTTAAAAGTACGTTAATAAAAAATACGTTTAGTATATAAGAAAGCTATAAACTAAGGCTTAAAGGTTAGGTGTTTTTAAGGTAAGTATTAATAAAGTTTATACGTTAAAGGTTAAAGAGAGTATAATAAAAGCTTAAGGTTTAAAGCTTTATAGATTACTTTAAAAAGCACTAAGAGTTTAAAGGTATTTAAAACGGTTAAAGAAATAGGCGTAGTTTTATATAAAAGTCTAGCTAAAAAAGAAAAGTTACTATTAGGTAGATTAAACTAGTTGAAAACTAAGCTAAAATAAAAGAAAGATATTTATACAATTAAACCTACTTCCTTTCTTTTTAAATAGCTCTTTCCTTCCATTTATACCTTACTAAGTCCCTTTTAACTAGTTCCTACTTCTTATTTAAGTAAGTTACTAACAAGCATAGCGTAGAGTAGTTTATAGCTAAAAAGTAAAGGCTTAAAAGGTAGACCGGCGCTTCTTAGTTTCTATGTTCAATTAAAGTATCTTACTATAGTCTTTTATAGAGTGCATAGTAGGTTATATAGCTTAGCTAACCTAGTTATTCTAGGCTAAGAGTAAAGCTAAAGACTTATATTAAGCTATAGCCTATTATAATTTCTAACTATTTTAACCTTATTTTATTTATACTTTAGCCTTTATTAGTAGCTATAAATAACTAATCTTTATATTAGTTTAATTTAAAACTAAACTACTACTACTATACCTTTTTACTCTTAAAAATAATTAAAAAAAAGATGCTAAAACTATTAATAAAGACGTACTTTACATATAAAGTTTATAATTAATTACTAACGTTTTTCTTTTAAATTATAGATACATTTTATTTTTAAGCACTTATTAAAAGTCTTTTTTACTTTAAGCTAGCGTAGTTTTATTTATGTTTTATTTATTATATAGTTTTATTAATGCTATATTAAAAACTAAAAGCTAGTAAAACTATATATTAATTATATTAGTTAAAGCTTTATTTTAACACTTAAAATTAAAAGATTTACTTCTTTAAACTTAAATTATAAGATTCTACTTTAAAAAAGCATATAGCTAGTATTACCTTAGCAGTCTTACGTCTTTATTACTAAGCATTATAGCGTAAGCTATAGCTTTAACTTAAGAGTAAGTAAAAAGCACTTTAATTAAGCTCCAAACGTAAATTTAATACGTTAAGTGCTCTTCTTAAACCTTAGAAAGCCTTTACTAATCTTAATAAGCGTTATAGTAATTATAATAGCTAAGTAATTGATTCTAAAGCTTTAATTATAGTATACTATATTCAAAGGCTGCTTTTTAAAGAGATACGCTATTATTAAGCAATTTAAGCGCGTCGGCGATTTTCTTTTCAGTATATTAGCGCATAATAGTCTAATAATTACTGTTAACAAAAAAGAAGGTAATTGGAGTGATTTTGGTAGACGTACGACGTGTTGAAGTTTGTATATAGTATATGTGTATTGGGATAAATTGGGTGGCCCAAATCCCCATGGTCCCACTTACTCCATAAAACTTAGGAGACAAATTCTCGGTTGCCATGAAATAACACACAACTACGGAACGAAGCACACGCTTCGCTAGCTATTGGCAATTACTATTCTCGTCAATAGTTATCGCGTCACAATTACTAGATGCCACAGCAAAGCTACGACGCAAGATCCCAAATTGAACGCCATGTACCAAAAGATCAATGCCAAGAACCTCACCTACTCACAGAACCTGCCACCATTCCTTGCCGCCCTGCGTGACCAAGTGAGTGGCCAGACCGGACCGGATCCCATTCTAGCGGCGCGCAGGCGACCTGTCAAAAAGCGGTCTGCCAGCGAGGAGGCTGAAGACGCGCCGCTGGTTCTCGACGAGCATGGTGATGTGATAGTAGGTGTTACTGTGGGCGTTGATGGCACTGCAGCAATGCCTGCTGGTCCTTCTGGAAAAGGACAACGACAGATTTTAGATGATCGGCAAGAGAGGCAAGAAGGAAACACAGGAGAGGATGTCGCTGGCGCTAGAACGGAGAAGAAGAGAAAGGTGGGTAAGGTGGTGGGCGGGGAGGATGAAGGCGAGGAAGTAGAGGCACATGCATATGGACAGCGAAAGAGAGAGAAGAACACAACGGAGAGAGAATTTGAAAAGAAGACTGTAAGCAACGCCAAGGATAAAGCGGTCGGTGACCGCGGTGCTGCTAAGGAAAGGAAGAACAAGAAGAAGAGCAAGAAGATGAAGATGAGGTTGAGTTTCGAAGATGACGATGTTGCCGCTTGAGGCTGGCTAATGAAAATTGTCGCACTCCGTTCCTTCTCAGGGTTGTGTATCTATGAATCTGCCACTCCAGGGATAATTCGGCGCCGTGATTGACCAGATCTCTTCGGCGTCGCCGTCAGCGTATCACATTACTGCATATCACAGCAAAAACATCACCACGCGAAGAGCCGGGTAAACTCTCTGGTTAACTACAGTTTGCACATGCTACAGATCACCGCCATCTCTTTGTCGTATGTATTGTTGTGTCTCGGGCAATCTCTCTAGGGCGGTCTACCGTCCAAAGCCCACACCTAAATCCTCACCAGTACTCGGGCTTAACGTAATCAGCAAACGTCTTGGCCTCCTCATAGCCATGGTGGTGCCCGTGGCTGTGGCCGTCGTCCTGGGGGCCGACATAGTCCATCTTGTAGACGCTACCACACTCGGAGCATCGGTCGACCGGACGCTTCCGGGACATCTAGTGATTAAGATGTCAGCATTGGTATTGACGGCAATCGAATTAATGCCCCATTGTGAGATACATACGCCGACCCAGATGACGTTGTGCGAGTCGACCGGGTAGCCGGTGCAGCCGGCATACTGCTCGTCGCCAGCAGAGCGGACCAAAATGGGGTTCTCGACAGTCCCTAAGCGTCAGATTAGCGACGCCAATCCATACCTTGATTTGCATTACCACGTCCTACGGGGTTCTCACCTTTCCGTGAAGCATCTAGAGGGCGCATTTCGAAAATGTCGACTCCCTCAATCTTTCCGAGAATCTCAAGACGCTCTTGGCCGGTTGCTTGTTCTAGGTCCGTTGGAATGGTACCGACCTGGGCACCGGGCCCGAGAAGGTCATCATGTGTTTTGACCTCTTTAAATAGCATTAACGTTAGCCTTTCAGTCGTATGGTTAAGCCTATTCGCCTGATCTCGCCGTATATTAACAATGTTCCAGATGTTTTGCCATTCTGTCGTGATTCGGAGTAAAGGGAAGAACATCCAACGAGCGTACCAGCGAGCGACTTCAGTTTCGGGGCTTGAACTTCGGGGACAGCGGCTTCACCTACACGGAAACAATTGTGGTCAGATATGCGTGAGAGAAGGACAGAAAGGGGATAAAGGTAGCGCGCCATCGCGTGTGCCGACGTTTGCCCTCGAATACAACTGGGTGGAAAGGAGCGCTCTTACGGCGGATAAACGTCGTCGCAAAGGTGCGGCGCACGGCGGGAGCCACGACTGCCCGGCGAGCAACTGCTAGTGCGGAGCGCTGCATAAACATGATTCTTCTCAATTGAGGTGGTGACGATGGGTGAGCTATCGGGGCGTGTGGTGACGATAATTTGGCGGAAAGAGAAATTGAGTGCAAAAAATACAATTTGAGGCTTTTGGTGATATGGTCTGACGCTCTCGGAAAGACATTATTATGGGCCGAGAAATCAGAGATCCTTCCCTCATCTAGTTAGGTGGGGTGATGTCTTGTAACGGTCACGTGTATGCTGGGACTTGACTACGTCGTAGACGGCCCAATGCCGGAAGGGACATTGTAATATAAATTCGGGCTGTTGTCGGTAATATAAGATACTAATAGGCCCCTCTTAAATATTTGCAAAATAGAATCGTAATAGCATCGATGTTTCATGTCTAGTAGTGCTGGCTCTGGCTTCCAAGTCACGGGATAATACTGTCTTTGTCCCTGTACTCCCTGTCAATTTGAAGAGTAGCAATGAGGACATTGAATATTCTGCAGGTGCATACTGCCATTACTGGATTCTTGGCGCTGTCGCTACCTTCGCTAGTTTTTCTGCCCTGTCCTTGGCGATAGCGGTCATAGCCTGAATTGGCCTGGTTAAAAACAGAGCATTGATATAGCAAAGGGAGATTGCCTGCAGCACGACGTACCTCGATAGCCTCCACCTCTTCCTTGCGAAAGTCTCCCCTTGATATTCTCTCCTTCATATTTCCCAAAATGGCGTCTCGCGATCTTCCGTTTACAAAAGCAACGTATCGCAGTCCGGGAAACTTTGCCTCGTACTCTGTGTTCATCGCCGCCAGCTTTTTGGCTTCTCCGCTCCCATCTGCGGCTTGGAGCTGAGCTTGCTCTACAGCGCTCTGGGCGCTATTAACCTTCTTCGCACCGAGTCGGGGATGCGAGCCCAAAATTGCAAGCAGCGTCTTTTCAGCTCCTGTATCGGAAACAGCAGCAGTGTGCAGGGACAAAAGCGTAGATCGGGTGGCATCGATCAGATCAGGATAGGAGGAAAATATCTGAGTTCGCAAAGTAGGAATAAGCAGGGTATGGATGTCTTTGCTTGGCTCGAAGAGGAGGTCAAGGACACCAGCGAGCTGATTGTCTGAAAGCGAATGCAGAGATGATATATTGGGCAGAGACAAGGTAGCCATCAGGAAAGAAACTGTTGCAAGATAAGTTTAAGTAGCTTCAAAAAAGAGCACTGGTGATCTATGTCAAAAGAAGAGCATTTACGGAGTAGAGGCGGACTGGAGCGTGCACAAAATGGGCTAGGCGGCGATAGCCGATGTGCGTGCTTGACTTCTGTGCTGTGGCAAGCACACCCGGAGTTTGCCACTCTTAAGGTCGCTCATAAAGACTCGTTCTGAGTGTAAGGTCACAATCAAACTTATTTCGATCATCCCTTATATGTTTGGAAACTGCAAAGAAAATGAAGAAAAAATGCGACATGCCTCTTCGTGCACTCCGTACTCCGTAGTATATAGTCTTTATAGCGGTTACGTAATATTAAAACTGCAAATTTACAAAGCTCTTAGCTAGCAATTGCATATGGGATCTCTACTCCGTACTTCGTATCTAACATTTCATATACATCAAGGTCGTTGATTTCTTAACATTAGGGATAACTCGGGTTTGGCAACCCGCTAGAACCCTACTTTTCCGCTGCTTAACTCCTTTTATTTTGCATCTTGCCTTAACTTAATCCGTGTTACAGACGGTATTAGGTACGCAATACCGACGTATTATGCCCTATACAATTATTATTAGCACTAAAGGCAGGATTCAAGCCACTATAAATGTAAGTTTAGATATATACAGAGGTCGCTACCAAAAGTCCTTTCTGACCGCCTTAGACCCACAAATCTAAATAATGCCGGCAGAATTATTTGTTTACTTTTCCGTGCCGCTGCTGCCGCTGCTGCCGTCGCGCCTTTTGTTTTTTCTTACATTTAATTCATTATGCCTTCATACGATATTGCTACCCGGGCGCAGGCCCTTAGCTTAAAGCTATTCGGTGCTACGAATAATCAAATCGAAGCCTTTACTAGTATTTCTGCACGGCAGGTACATCTACTTCTTAATAAAGCTATTAGCCGTGGCTTTAATATTAATGCACGCCCGCCGGTTATACTCGATATCTACGTTGTAGACGGTAACCGAATCGGCCGCCCTTAAAAGTAAGAACTAGTTAAAGAAGAGGTTCTTACAAAGGTTTGCACTGACCGCTACGGACAAGAAAAAACAACTGCTTATTTAGCATATAAAATTAGTAGCGTTTTAGCAATAATAGTTTAGCGCACTCTTTAAAACGCTAGGATAAAGAAGATAAAACTAATATAAAAGCCTAGATTAATAGAGTTAATAAAACAAAAGCGGTTAGCTTAGTGCTTACGCTATAAACACTAGATTTTAGATAGTTAGAAAAAAGTAATCTAGTCTAATAAAACGTTTATTCTTCTTTGCTATTAACAAGAGAGCTATAAAGTTTAGAGAGCTTTAAGCAAAAGGTTTTTATAATCTTATATTTAAGAAAGGTAGAAGGGATACTTTAAATTTATATTCTAGGGATGCTTTATATATAATAATAAAGGACCGTTCTATATTTAGCATTCTAAGACTGTAAAAGAGCGTGCAAAGTTAGAAAAAGAGTTAGCGTTATAGAATTAGTAAATCAAACTATAACTTTGTAAAGTATAAAAGCTTAAGACTAGTGTTTATTATGTTAAGCTACGAAATCTACTAGGATAAAAGCTGTAATAAAAGTTTATAAAGCAAACAGGCAAAGCTACTTATAAGAGCAGTAATAGTATTAACTAGTACTGCTACTAAAAGCATATTATTATTCTAAAGCTAATACCTTTTGCCTATAAGTATAGTGTAGACTTCTTAGTTTAAGAAGACTAAGCTCTAGCTTATATATATGCTTTGTAAGCAGTTGTATACAACTGTGCAAACGTTTAAAGGCTAATTTAGTGCTTAAATTTACTAGATTTGAATATAATCGAGCTATGCTAGATGCACTTAAAAAAGTAGACTACTAAGTTTAGCACGCCTTTATTAAAGGCATAAGCAAAGGCAGACTAGTAGCGTGCGTAGGCAGACTTAAAACAAGACTATATTTAAGAGTAGATTAAAAGGATACTATAGCATATTTAGCAGGTAATCGCTTTAGGTAGTAGTAATAAATATAAGGAGGGACGAAAGGATGCACTAAAAAGGAGACAGAATGTAATTTAAAAATAGATTTCCAAATTAGGCTTAGTGCGAATAATGGGACTAAAGGCGGTTAGAAAGGACTTTTAGTAGCAACCTTTATACCTAAGGTATAAACTACCCTAGTGCACTAATTTTAAATCGTTATTTATTCCTTTAGTTAATTATTAGCAAAATAAATATATATCTATTATATTAACAACCTATTTGTAGGGCAGGCCTTTGTTGCAAAATTAAGCTATTAGGTAAAGATCTACACAAAAAGTATACCTATTCTGGTAATTTACAGGTACCCGCTAGGCAACTTATAGTAATTGTTGGCTTAAACACGTTCGCTCTCCCTATTTCCCCTTAATATAGTACTAGCGTAGAAATTTTACGCCCTTTTAACTGGCTATACAATACGTCTAGGACGGAACGGGAAAAACCTTAACACAGGCCTTAAAGAAACACGTGCATAGTTACGTAACCCTAGAAAGCTAAAAGCTACCCCTTGCCTTTTCCCTCTTCTCGTTGCTACCTACATATAACCTTACCTACCCTTTATATTAAGCTATATAGTTCTTTTTCCTTAAAGGGTTTTATTTTAGCTTACTTTAGGCTAATATAGTTAGGATTAACTTTGCTATCGAAATTTATATATAAATTAGATAATAGCGGAATAAACAACAACAACTAGCTATACAATTTTTAGCATGTTTTCTAGGCTGCGCTATGCGTTTTTAGGCTGCACTAAGCTATAATAATATAGTATAAGTGTTATATAAGCTGCCTTACTATTGTTTAAGGTGTTTTTATAACTATAACTTTTTATACGCCTTTATTTTTACACCGTTATATTTGTTTATATCTATAAAATGCTTAAAATATCTTCTTCTTCTTACGTATATAATTACTATTATTATATGCTTACTATAGCTTGCTTTTCTTTAAAGCAGCTTATTAAGGCGTTTTATAATACTTATATAAAATATAATTCTTATTAAACTTTCTATAAGCAAGCTATATAAAGCAGTTTACTTACTACTATACCTTTACTATAGCCTTTACTACTTATTATATATATACTAAAAGTAAAGGTAGGGTAAGGCCTTAGCTTAAACTAACAACAACACACACACCTACTAACGTACAAACGTAACTATACATAAAGAGAGGTGCTATAAAGCACCTTCTTTTATTAAAAGGTAAGGGCAGCATATAGCTAGTCTAAAAAAGAAGAAGGAAGAAAGCTATACAAGCTTACCTTATAATCCTAAAAAAGATAATAAGATAAGCCTGCCTAGCGTTATCTTAGGCGTAGTCTATACTTTATAAGTGTACTATATATCTTTACAACTAATTAATTTTATATATGCGTGTCTGCTTATCTCTCTCTCTTAAGAAGAGGGAAGAAGAGAAGGTTTTTATATATATAGAGTATATAAGTAGTAATAGAAGGCATAAATTGTTTTATATCTAATTAGTTAGGAAAAGTGGGGTAGGTTATGTAACGATATAGTATTCTATAAGGGTTTAGATTTATTATTCTGTGCGGCTAGAATAGGCGTTCTTAGGGGTGCACTTTTCTTTATTACTTAATACGCTATTTTTATTTTATTTTATAGTGCTTAATAATAGGCTATAGCCTAGAATAAGCTTTAGTTTTACTTTTAGCCTTATTAAATAAAGGGTTAGCTTAAGGTAAATACTAGATCTTAAGCTACCTTTACCTTAACCCTTTTATATTGCCTACTTTAAGCTAAGTTACCTTAGCAGCTATGCTATTTAGATTAGATAAGCCTTTTAAATTAAATAGTACTACTATTAGGCTTAAG